GTTGTGTGTTTTTTTGTTGTTGTTGTTTTTTTTTTTTGGGGGGGGGGTACTTGAAAAGAGAAGCATACCTTTGATATTCGTACTTATTATGTTTAATGCTATTTTGTCTTTATCCGAAACTTAAAAAATCAGGGAGAAAAAACGTTCATACTATGCAATATTATGCAGGTTTGCGTTTCTGATCAGTGTATGGTTGGTGGCGTCGGTGGCCTATAGTGCGGTCAAAAATTCGTGGCTCAATTTATTGTCAAATATCTCCTCACTGTCAAACATAAACTCTTCAGCTTTTGCACAGGGACTTGCATCAATTTTTATTTGTATTTATTAAGCAATTTTCTAGAATAGAGCAAACAGGTCTTTGTGAAAATATTGACCTGTTAGCTCTATTCTAGAAAATTACATAATAAATACTAATAAAAAATCCTAGTGAATTATTTCTATTGATTTTAAAAGGTTTACAGCATAGACGATATCGCTTTTAAAAGCAAGTCAGTCGATTTTTTTTTCTAATCTCGAGATTATCTTTATTGAACGCATGTTTTGAAAATTTTTAGTGCAAAAAATGTTCACTATAAAATGAATTTCTTGTAACGAGTTTTGCCACTAAAAATATCATTGGTGAACTGTGACCACCCTTTTGGAATGGCCTAAAGACACTTTAGTCAGTAGCACCGCCCCGGGGGGGGGGAGCCACAGACAGTCTATATTGTGCATTTGTCGTAAGGTCCTTGGTAAAAGGCTATGTCAGAACAGGCCAAAAGGGTAATCACTTTGGAAGAAGTCTACGATATGAGTGGTTGGAGGGGGGAAGGTGTTTTTATAGGGGGGGGGGGAGGTTGGGGGAGCATTGATAGCTCCTACTTGTTTTATCCTCCCCCCTCCCTATCTCTCTCTCTTTCTCTCTCTCTCTCTCTCTCTCTCTCTCTCTCTCTCTATATATAGATATATATATATATATATATATATATATATATATATATATATATATATATATATATATCTCTCTCTCTCTCTGTCTCTCTCAGTAGGTTGTGTCTCCTATCGGTCTTCGCACTAAATCAACTAAATGAAAACCTAATAGTATGTGTTCTTCTCTTTATTCAAACTGTGAGAGGTCGAAGAAACCCTTGTTCTGTGTTTTCGCTGTTGTTTTTTTTTTTTTATAAATTTGAAATTTAAATTAATTTGTTGGCAGGGCTGTATCTTCTGACTTCTTTTTCGGTCTTCATTCCTTTTTCGTCTTTTTGGTGGTTTTTATTTTGTATTCTCTTTCATTTCATCTTTTTTTCTTCTTTTTTTTGGGGGGGGGGGGGGGGGGGGGGGGTATTAGCTGGTCTTGGTTACCATAATTTGCTTTATTTGTACTTTTCTCACTTTATTTTTTCTCTTCTCACTCTTGATAAATCGGTTTTTCTCATCTCACTTTTGATAAATCGGTTTTTCTCATCTCACTCTTGATAAATCGGTTTTTCTCTTCTCACTCTTGATAAATCGGTTTTTCTCTTCTCACTCTTGATAAATCGGTTTTTCTCTTCTCACTCTTGATAATCGGTTTTTCTCTTCTCACTCTTGATAAATCGGTTTTTCTCTTCTCACTCTTGATAAATCGGTTTTTCTCATCTCACTCTTGATAAATCGGTTTTTCTCTTCTCACTCTTGATAAATAGGTTTTTCTCTTTTCACTCTTGATAAATCGGTTTTTCTCTTCTCACTCTTGATAAATAGGTTTTTCTCTTTTCACTCTTGATAAATCGGTTTTTCTCTTCTCACTCTTGATAAATCGGTTTTTCTCTTCTCACTTTTGATAAATTGGTTTTTCTCATCTGTACCGGTGTATTTCTTCTTCTTCTTTCTTTTTACACACTTATCTTTGTTATTATCTTGTTTTTTTCATATTGTTATTTTTTCCCTTTTTTTGTCTTCGTCAATCCTACCATCCTAACTTCTTCTTTCTTTCCCTTGGTTGGTCTTTCTTTTCTTTTTCCTTCTTTTTTTTGCGCGGACTCGAAAGGAATCTTAACGTTCAGTTCTTTTTCTGTCTGTCTGTCTGACAGACTGTCTGTCTGTCTGTCTGTCTGTCTGTCTGTGTTTCCCCCCCCCTTCTCTCTCCTCCCTCCCCCCTCTCCCTCCCTCTCTCTCTCTCTCTTCTCTCTCTCTCTCTCTCCCTCTCTCTCTTTCTCTCTCTCTCTCTCTCTCTCTCTCTCTCTCTCTCTCTCTCTCTCTCTCTCTCTCTTGCTATCCTACATCTGCGTTCAAGCATTTCTTCTGGCCTTTTCTCTCTCCCCGCAGCGCCACCCCCCCCCCCCCAAGTGTCAGCTCGTAAACAGTTTGAAAGTGCTGCCTCTCTGTGGGATGTCCCCCCTAAGAATAATATTATTTGTGTCACGACGCGGTGGAATCAGGCGCTCGTCAATTGTTGTGCATTTGGAGTTATTGATACTGTATCATCTCAAAGCTTGTTCGTTTATCTTGCTTTTGATGAAAACAAAATATCCTTCAAACTTAAGGAGAAGTGAAGATAGATCTATTTGTGATTGAGAGAGAGGTAAGTTCACTTGGTTTAAGCGGTAAAAATAGCGAGAAAAGTTTAGTGACCTCAATAGCTAAAGAGTCCTTGAAAACTGAAAAATTGCATATTTTGAGCTTTTAATAAATGTTTTTCAATATACTTCATATGGAAATGTGTGTTTTTATTTGTACATTAAAGGGTTGAAAAAAAATTGATCAAAATTGCCAAACTGGTGGGAAAATGCCTGTTCGCCTGATTTCACCACGATTCCTCACATTTATCGTTCTCCGAGAAAGCTTTAAAAAAGACAAGTTTTTTTGTTTGGCTTTCCTTTCTCTCTCTATGTCTGTCATTGTCTGTCACTCTCTCACTCTCTCACTCTCTCACTCTCTCTCACTCTCTCTCTCTCTCTCTCTCTCTCTCTCTCCCCGATGGAACTGCTATTACTATTAGCATGACAACGTAGTTTATGGCGTGGCCCGTTCACTCTTGGTTCATCATTGGCGCTTCAAGGATAACGCCCGCTATGGAACCCCCCCCCCCAAAAAAAAACCCACAACAACAACCACAAAACAAAACAACAACATAAAAATTTTAAAAACCAAAAAAACCCCCAAAAAACCCCAACTACCCTCATAAAAAACATAAACACCCTCACAAACAAACAAAAAATAAAATAAAAAAGTAAATAAAACAAAATAAAATAACAAAAATTAATAATAATTTCAATTAAAAAAAAAAACAAAAAAAACAAAGCAAAACTTACCGAAAAAACAACAACCCAACATGCTAAAGACATGCTGTCATCATCCTTTTGAACAATTCTCATTGTGTAACATGGAAGATTTTGTTTACCCCATAGCTGCACACGGCTTGATAAAAAAAGGTGACATTAATTTGATAAAGTATGGAAAGATAATTTCATTTTTTAATTGTTGCATCACTGTTAAAAAACAATCAGGAAATGACAAATGCAGTTTTTGGGACCCCTGAATAGACATAAGGGTCTTGAACATCTAGCTCTCACTAGCAAGCGAGGCAGGGGTAGGCCCAGAGCAACCTACTTAGGAACCTAAACAATTGGGTAACAGGGAAAGGTCAGGGAAACGCAGCTTTCTTAAGAGCATCCGTGCAAAGGAATGAATGGAGAGCCATGATCGCCGATGTCTGTCGCAGATCTGGCACTGGATAATGATGATGATGATGATGATGATGATGATGATGATGATGATGATGATGATGATGATGATGATGATGATGATGATGATGATGATGATGATAATGAATG